CCAAATCTGGTATGTAGGGGGGCTGAGTCACCTGGGTGATTTGATGTTTCTCCAAAAAACTCTGCACGAGACGTGATGCATGAGCCGGTGTGTTGTCGTGATGAAGCTGCCAATTACTAGGTGCCCATAGCTGCGGCCTTCTGGATCATCCAAGTAGTTTCCATGGAGGAATGTTCAAGCTTAACGCAAAGTTTGATGCTGATTAGTAGCTCTACTTGTTCAGCCATTTTGAATGTCATGACCACACAGTACACATGCTCACTCAATGGTGTCTACAGCCCCCACTGAGTAGTACAGTGAAGTTGTCGTTGTTTATGCATGTGCATTCTAGTCCACTCTCCTTGGCTGCCAGGTTATATCGATGTTGCACAAACCATTCTTGTTATATTTACAATAGCTGGACTTTTCTGGACAGGCCTTGTATATGCGATTTTTACCATTTGTTTCTTTTGGCCATTTTAAAATTGGGTCATATATTAAATAGTGCTGTGTTTAGCCAACTCTTTTATAGTGTTCTGAGATACTTTTCTGAAAGAGAAAAATTTTGAACATATACAAAAATTGGAGATTAGCATTGTGGTAGAATAGAAACTAACTGTCTGGCTGTTACCAAACCAAACCAGTGAGGGAGGTGGGATGGGGGTGGGGGTCCTGCTGCTCACCACCTACCAGGCAAATCTCCAAAGACGAAGTTCAGTGGAAAAGAAAGAAATATTTATTTAATGGCACGTTTTTAACTAAAGTATCTGGGTAACAAAAGTAGAAGGAAAGAAAAAGTCAGAGTGTATCTATTTAAATATTTGTCATTATAACTACTACATGGGTTTAAGAACTGAAAATAACACAAGACCAAAAATCTGTTCACAGAGCTATTATCACCAAGGTCTTTGGAAATAATGGCAAATTTCTGCCTCAAACTTGTTCCCTCTAAGGCACCCAAAGAAAAATCTCCAACACCTTCTGCCATCTCAGTTCAAGGTTACGCCGGGAGCCTCCTTTCCCACCCAAATGTATCATGAATGTAGGTGACTTAGCTGGTCTCCAGTTGCTGTCCAGCTTCAGGCATCTTTTGGAGTGTGTGCCCCAAGGCCTCTGCTCATAGGCCCGCGCTGGCTACCTGTGACAGGTCTGTCAGTGACCACTGACATGCCTCCCTGCCTGGGGGAGGGGAAATAACCGACTCCTTTTTGCTTTCCAGCATTTCAGAAGTCCTCTCCCAGAATCCCATTTGTGCCAAAAGCCAATGGGAGTTTCCAGCCTTCCAACCAATGAGGGCTGATGTCAGCCATATTTGCCTTTGGCCCTCTTCTGGCTGCTCTGTTGAGCAAGGGGGCTAAATCTCCAGTCACACATGCACAGCTCAGACCCTTTCATTTCCAGGAGGTGTGTCCCCCTGTTACAAGAGGGGACAGTTATTTATAATTAGCATGATTGTCTATCTAGAAAATTAAAGATAATGGATTGAAGAATTATTGGAAGTCTGAATAATTCAGTAAGGTGGGAAGAAATGACATAGTCAGAATACAGAGGAAAATGATGGCTTTCGTAAATACTTGTAATCAGTAATTATAATTACAAAAAACCCCAAAACATACAGTTTAATAAAAGAGAAGAGCTCATTTATAATAGCAACATAACTAAGCCCTGTCAGATAACAAAATGCACTTACAGCACAGACTGCTGGTTGCTCACAAATATTTTTTTTTCACTTCTTTCTTAGGAATAGAACCCAAATTTTTAGCTATGCATTACCCTGTGAAAGATTATTTTGCTTAGCCTCCCATGGTGCTGTATGTGGCCATTAACACTGAACTATGGCCAGTGACCTACATAAACTCCTTAGGAAGGAAGCCTCCTTATGGGGCATTCTTTGTCTTCCTTATCCTCTTTTCCGTAATGTGGGCAAGATAGCTACACACAGGAGAGAGTCAGAGACCTCACATACAGGAGCAGTTCAGGGACAGAAAATTAAAATGAGGTGTGTATGTATGTAGAGCATGATGAGCTAACAATGAGGTACAGATCCTTTGGGCTTCAAAGGATCATTACAGGACAATAAGAAGCGAAGTTCAGTAATTAGTAGTTTGCCCTGCCAGATTGATAGGTCAAGAAAGGCAATCTCTCATAATCTCTTATTATGGGCAATGCCCCTCGTTTGAATTCTTATGGTTAGTTAAACGGGTGGGGTGGAGGAACGAAGTTTCTCTTGAGTCCACAGAGTCTTGGTTGCCTTTAGCTCAGAATAATCTGAATACCACAGAGACACATCTTAGGGTGACTTGTTCTGAATCCCAACAGTTTCCTCCTCTGAAATGTCCTGAGAAGTATCATATTCCAGGAGTTGGGCTGATTGTTCCATATCTCATTAAACCAGTCTCAGTTTTGAGTATAGGTCGGTTCAGTTAAACAGTTGTTATTCATTTCAGGAAGTGGTGATGCAGGTGGGCTCCCAAAATTAGTCCTATGGTGCAAGCAATCAGGTATTTAATAAGAGGCATTTTAAAGAAACTAAAGAAAAACAAAAGTTAATGATTGGAGCAGACTATGATCTCAGTTTCTGAGTTCTAAAGGCAGCCAGTAGAGAAGATTTCCAGATGTCTGGCTTCAAGCATTTTCAGATGAAGTGAAGGCAGGCAGTGACAATAGATTTTTCTGGTTTGCCGTTTGAGTGTCTCTGGTGATTCTTCTGCAACAGGCATGAAGATTTGTCAATGCATGAGCTGTTTAGTGATTTCTCTGAGGTTTTTATCAAGTTGTCCCACTTTAGCTTGCATGGCTTTGAGACGAGCAGTTTTGGTTCTCAATGATTCCAACTCAAAGGATGGGAGAAAAATTGTAACTGTTAGTTTGGAGAGTCATAGAAGGTATTAGAGGAAACTAGAAGAATTCAGCATCCAGTCCTTTTTACAGGTAGAAAACAAAAAGCCTAAAAGATAACAAATAGCTCTAGAATCAAATAGCCACAGATATGTATTACTGAAACATAAATATTCTCTCTAAAATCATACTCATTTTGCTCAGGCTAGTGTGGCTCAGTTTGTTGGGTGTCATCCTCAAAGCAAAAGGTCAGTGGTTCAATTTCCGGTCAGGGCACATGCCGGGGCTGCAGGTGCTGTCCCCAGGCAGGGTGCCTGCAAGAGGCAACAAATAGATGTGTCTCTCTCACATCACTGTTTCTCTCCTTCCCTCTCTCCGTCCTTCCTCCTCTTTCTAAAAGTAAATAAATAAAATCTTTCAAAAAAAAAATGTACCTCCTTAATTCTCAGTAACTTGATGTAGTCTGGTTTTATTTGTGATAACTTTCCTAATTTACTAGGTAAAACAATGGATAAATACAAAAGAAAACTCATGTGAACTTATATTTACCGTTCTTCATTTTGCTTCACAATATGTATAACAGGATAAAAATACACAAATTCAGGGAAAAAGAAAAGGGTAAAAGTGTAAAATAAAACAACAGATAAGATTAATTCGGCCTACTTTTTCCATTTTTTTTTTTTCCCTCTGGACAGAGTTAGGGCCGAAACTTTGACTCCCATTTTATCACAGCCAAAGCAAAGAGAATCAGTTATGAGATTCACAGTATCCATAATATAAAAGCAAACCAGCTACTCTAAAGGACAGTTTTTCCTGGTACTGAAAACTGAAGATGTGAATTTTTTCCTGTGTTGGATATAAAAGGGGATAACATGGTCTAGTAGCATTTTCAGTAATGTTTTGGACATAGTTCCAAAATGCAGTTTTTCTGAGTGCACAGTTCTATGAAATCAGTATTATGGTAAAAATATGTGGTTTTCTGATTGTCTAACTTGATCCAAAGATAAAATTTACAATAAAAACAAATGCGCTATTTTTTATTCTAAAATATAGAATACGTATCTCTCAAGTAATTCACCATGAATGTATTCTTAACATTGTTTTTCATGGAAATTAGACAACAGAAACTTTAGAATTTATTTTTTAGCAAGAACCTTGTGTTCATTAAGGCATATCCACTATATACTTTGATAGCTGAGCAGAGGCTGTACGAGTGATATTCTTCAATAATAATATTTCACAATAATAATACTTCATTGCCAGATACTGTAATAAATTTTTTCTTTGCAATTTTTTGTTGAACTCGTGCAACAACCTCTTGAAAGTAGATACTGTGGTTATCCCTATTTCAGAGATGAAAAAAGGCGAATAACTTGCTCAAGGTCGTGCATTCAGTTTCTGGCAATTCAACCTCAGGTTCTCCTACCTGATAATGCTGATGAAAATTAAGAAGCCTAATGCAGGATTTGTACCTGAATTCAGAAGTTAGAAAATTCAGAGAGAGCCAAGATTTTTCCTCAAGAAACCATTTCTAAGGATGGGTGAAGAAAACTGCATTGTACTTTGACAGGTTTTGCATGAGATAAATTTATTTTGCACTTCCTTAGCTTCCTTTTTTCTAATTTATGCTTAAGTAATTCCAATATTCTGAATAACTATTGTTGAATATAGTCATTGTCTTGGATATTATCACTTTTACTTTTGTTTTATGAATATTAAGCTTTCAGGGAACCAAAGTTGCTTGCCTAGATAGTTATTCTTGTAAATAACTGCAATATAAGCAAATTAAATTACTCTAATGCCTTTTATAAGGTCAATTTTGCAGTTTTAAGAAAACTGCAATTTTCTGTAGTTTTCTTAAGATGCATGATGTATTTGAAATTATTTAACTGAAACTTGGAAAAAATGCCCAGTATATTTTGCAGCTGGCATTCCTGAAAGCTGAATGAAAATTGCAGAGCCAATTTCATATTATCATATTTATACTTTTGTCATAATTCTTCCATTTTAATGCTTGTTTGTTCACATCGGTTTTTAAATGAACCCAGTAATTTACATTTGAAATTGCTCTAATTTTACAAATAGGAAGTAATTAAAATTCATAGGTTTATTTTTATCTATAGTAATCTAACTATAAAGAAAATGTACTTAAAGTTTTAACAATTTTCTATGTTAATTTTCAGGTTGAAGGTTCAGAACAGATGTGGAAAGATGTTCACTTCAGAGAAAGGAGTTGTGGAGGAATGGTTATCAGAGTTTAAGGTAATATTTGCTTTAATGTAATAGTTCTATTTCAAGGAAGTTTTGTATGGGGTTTAAATTCTAGTGGCTTTAAAAAAATACAACTGGCCCTGGCTGGTGTGGCTCAGTGGACTGAGTGCCGGCCTGCAAACCAAAAGGTCATAGGTTTGATTCCCAGTCAGGGCACATGCCTGCGTTGTGGCCCAGGCTCCCTAGTTGGAGGCTTGTGAGAAGCAACCAATCGATGTATCTCTCACACGTTGATGTTTCTCTCCCTTTCTTTGTCCCTCCCTTCCCTTCTCTCTAAAAAGTAAATAAATAAAATCTTAAAAAAAAAAATACAACTGGAAAGCTAAATATCTTTGGAAGCCAAAGTATGTTCCACAAAATCTTAATAGGGAATTATTTACACTTAGTACTCTTTTTTAGGAGAGAATTCCTTTTTTCTTTCAAGTGGTTCAAACAGTTTGTTTTCTCCCTTTCGTGGCAACACCATAAAGAATGGTTAAAATGTCTGAAGGTTGATGTCATGCTTTTCAACCACCATCGAAGTCCCAGTTTGTGTATTGAAAGTGGGCACAATCAACAATGAGAAGAGGGCAGATATTTACCCAACTTTCTGTAAGTGGATCATTCTCTAGCTGGCTAACGCAGTATTGACTATATAAGGGGTGTATAACTTTCGGTTAGTTGACAAAAATAAAACTTCTATTTTCTTTTTTCATGAACTTGTTTCTATGATAGCTAAAATTGTGTTGTTTTAACCAGTTAATTACCGTCTCCTTGTCCTCTGGGTCTCATTGTTATACGTACTTATGCCGGACTTTCTGACTTGTTTCAGTGAGAGAGACTACATATCTTGCCGAACAAAGGAGAAGATAAAACTGTAGGATTTAGAGAAAGGATGTAGTTCTGATGAAATTTAAATGAAGCTGTATTTTGATGGACTCAGAGCAAGCAGAGCTATGTGTAAATGGGGTCAACATCTGGTCTCAGCTTTGGAGTAGACCCAGGGTCCTGTTGTCCCGGAAACTATCAAGTTAACATCTATGTGGAATGTTGTATTCAGAAACCCCTCCACTGAACCTCTGTACCTAGGTTGGAAATTGAGCCTGCTTCTCTGTGTCAAGGTGACTTAGATCCTTCAGGCAGGAGTGTGGAATGTTTCATTCTTACTGATACATGTTTAAACAACAAAGTTTTTGATAGCTATGATTTTAGATAATAAGGCTTCTCAGTGAGTAACAGTATGATAATCACTCAAAAAAGGAGGTCGTTATACTTTTCAGCTGCAGTGTGTCCTTGAGAGAAACCATGTTTCCTATTAAATTTGTAAACTAGCCTTATCAATCAGTGTTATCTCATCATGATGAATGAATGGCTGGGTAGATTTTTACTTTTTTGGCTTTTATAGTCATGAATCATGTATTTTCCTATGGAACCCCTAACTCATCATAAAGCAATGTAGAATATTATAAAAGTGCACTGTATAAAGTACTGTCTACATATTGTAATAGTTTGATAAAATCTTATATGTGCTTTTTTTTAATGCATATGCTGTCTTTGTGAATAAGCGTTCAAGGTATTTTTAAACTTTTTTTCTGCTTCAAGAGTGTTTAGTATGATTCCTTATATCATGATTTCATTTTTGGCAGCTTGATGGAAATCATCAAATTTAACAATTGAGTACCATTTCTAGGGCATTCTTATTTTTAATGGTGAAGTCAAATTTGCAAATGCAAATATAGCCAGCTGTTAGCCATTCTTTAGTAAGACAGTTGTGGAAAGATAGCATATTAAAAGATGGGGTATAGGGGAGGGGTCAACTATTAACGCAAATAATTGAAAATTATGACTGATTGCCTTCCCTTCCCACCTGTTTGTTTATTCCCTTCTCCTCTTGGGTTGACTCTAGAGATACCCTAGGAAGTGCAGCAGTGAGGGGTAAGGAGGTAGTGTAGCAGTAAGGACAGTAATATGCCCTAGTGTTTGAGGAAATGGACTTTTTGGGGGAAAGGGTTGCAGAGATGGCATGTGGAAGAGTCAGCCAGAGTGGTTACATTGGGATGTTGTTTAATGTGAGTAAATAAGTAATATGGAGGATAATGGGAGTTAGAGTTATCTGAGTCTGAGAAAGGAATTAGAAACATGGAATGGGGAAAGGTAAGAAAGCACCCTAAGGTGTTGTTTTGGAATTAGGAGAATCACTATGAACTCATGGGTCTAAATATGTATATGATATATTTACATATGTATGTTAATACATATATGCATACATATATTTTCACTAGATGTCCAAGAAGCAATGGTACCCCAGTAGCAATGAGTACACCAAGCACATACATCTTATTTTCTAAATAGTATCTTCCACTTAAATAAACTAGGATGTAAGTAAACAAAGTGTTATCTAAATAATATTTTGTCAATATAACATATACAGGGTTGGACAAAAATGAGTTTACAGTTGTTTGTATAGAAAATAATTCAAGAATAAATAATAATACAAGAATAAATTGCCCTGGCTGGTGCAGCTCAGTGGACTGAGTGCCGGCCTGCAAATCAAAGGATTACCAATTTGATTCCCAGTCAGGGCACATGCCTCGGTTGCTGGCCAGGTCCCCAGTTGGGGGCATGCAAGAGGCGATCACACATTGATGTTTCTCTTCCTCTCTTTCTCCTTTCCTTCTCCTTTCTCTAAAAATTAAATAAAATCTTAAAATAAATAAATAAATGGAAATCTTTTTAAAAAAGAGAATAAACTCTTTGACATACTTTTGCCCCACCCTGTACCATGGGAGTAGTGATATTTTATTAAAATTTTTATAAGCTTAATTCAAGGGTAAGGAAACTTTCCCATTGGGAGAAGTGAAATCCTAAGCACCATGAAATAAAAAGTAATTTAATTTAATTTTTTCCTAATCCTGTAAGATTAAAATTACCCAATTTTCAACCAATTTGGTGTAACAAATGTTTTAAATTATTGTCTAGTCTATATTGTAGCTATTTAAAAAGATGTTTCCTATTCCTTGGTTAATTCAGTAAGCATTCCTGAAAATTATTTTGAATGTTATTTTAAATTGTGTCAGCGTGTGTTAAATTCAGCTCTCTTTATGTTTGATAAAGAGATTAAGGTTGTCAGGAAAAGTCAGCAGCATACTATAGGTAATGGAATGTAGAAAAGTGCTTGAAAACAAGCCTCTTAAGTACTTTTAAAATTAGAGTGTCTTGTCTTTTGAAATGATTTGTGATGTTCATTACAATTTTGGTTAAAATTTGGCAAAATTTGAAGACAGATGCTTCATATGAAAGTATCATTTGGCAGACTTTTTCAAAAAATGTAAGGATGTGGTATGGTTTAGGTGGAAGAGAATTAATGAAGATGGACAGATGGGCGGAGAACCAATAAATAAAATAACTGTTCAAAAATGTTACACATAAGACGGGATTTTGAGTCATATATATTTATATAACTATATGTATGTAGAAAAAGCCTCTGCTTGTTTGTTTAATTTAATAACCATGTGCTAATATGGCCAAGGTCATCGTGATTGGTAAAGTGGTACAAAGTACATTGGTCTGAGAAGTCAGAAACCCTTTGATCTAATTATTCTTCTGGTAGTCAGTTTTATGATGTGGGACAAATCACCTAACTTCTTTAGGTCTCAGTATTCTCAACAGAAAAATTTAAGTGTAGGTGCTCTGTGAGGATGATTTAGTTCTCCATTGTTGCATGGTCACAGCCTGAACTCCCAGCTTCATAACAGCACTAAACATTCTCTCAAATGTACAAAGAGAGTTCAGTTTGCTCTGCGTGTAAATCTTTTTCTTTTTTCCTTTGGAGAACCAGTCAGTGTATACTCAGACTTTGGGCTGTTGTTGTTAGTACTCTTTATCATAAATCCTAACAAAATAATTAGACTGGGACTTCTTTAATATTTCATGAATGGTTCAACTGCTAGCTTTTCAAAGATTTATTTGTAAATATTATCTTTCAGATTGTATTGGGTTTTTCTTAAGGCTATGTGTAGATTTACCTATCAGATTTCCAGACTCCAGACTTTGGATTTTTTCAGTCTTCTGATAGTCACTGAATATCATTATGTGACTCAAAAATCCTGTCTCATGTGTAACATTTTTGAAGAGTTGTTTTATTTATTGATTCTCCACCCATCTGTCCATCTTCATTAATTCTCTTCCACCCAAACCATATCACATCCTTACATTTTTTAAAAAACCATCTGCCCTACTTTAGTATGAAGCATCTGTCTTTAAATTTTGCCAAGACTAATTTTCCAACATAATTTCCCATTATTCCTTTTTTTTTTTTTTGTCTCCAGTTCTGCTTTCTGAAAAGTGAGAAAGCTTAGCTGGTATTTAAGAAGGCCAGTACATTTGAATTGATACAATGCAGAAACATTTTAAGGTTTGTTGTAACATTTATTTAAATCATTTAAAGTATTTAAATCATTAGGGTATTTTATTTTTTAAAGATTTTATTTATTTATTTTTAGACAGGGGGAAGGGAGGAGAAGAGAGGGAGAGAAACAGTGTGAGAGAGAAACATCGATCAGTTATGGGGACCAAACCTGCAACCCAGGCATGTACCCTGACTGGGAATTGAACCAGTGACCTTGTGGTTTGTGGGAGACCCCCAGTCAACTAAATCACATCAGCCAGGGCTCATTGGTCTTGTTAGCCTCTTTTAGATCTTAAGTTTTTCAAAGCACTGTTCATAAACACAACAATTATATTTTCTCCCCTTCTATAAACAAAATTAACTTAGTCCACAATCGCAAAATGAAATAATAACAGAATTGTGATAAAATGTAATAGTTCACCACACTAAATTTTAGGAGACCTGTCCTGTCATTCAACAGCAGTAGCCTAGACCCAGGGTGTTTTCTAGAGCTTGTCTTTTCCAAAAAAGAGCTGTCCTTTTTGTCTTTGGCTGTTTCACAGAAACTGGTTACCTCAAAAAGGTTAATTGGTGTGTAAACTAAAAATTGTAATGGTTCACATTTTTAATGAATATTTTATTTTTTAGACTGAATTGTATATTTAATATAATGATAATCTTTATTTTCACTGATTTTTTTAAAGATTCATGTTTCAGTTCACTCAGTTTAAAATTTCATAGTTAGACATATATGTATACATATATAATAATGTATTTTACGTATATAATTCAGGTTCATTTCCATACAGGGTATTAGAAATCTATTTACTTGACTATTATTCCCTTTTATATAAACTCCTCAGTATTAGGTTACTTTTGATCAAATGACAGAAATGAAATGTTGCCTGGAGATCTTTTGTTACATGCTTTTGAAATATTGAAGAATGCCCTAATCTCATCTGTATATAAACAGTTGTGGTAAAACTCCGCACCCTGCCTCAGGAATGGTGAAGTTTCCCAGATAGTTCACATTTACTTACACTCTGCTGAACAAAACTATCTTATTGAATTTAAAAAAAGGAATCTATTCACTTATATAACCTAAGGTGAAATGTGACCTATTTTTAAAGAATCTACTCGTGTAAACAGTGGCAGTATTTATTTTTTATTCTGTTCATCTATAATAAATTCCTTCAGCAAAAGTTTGAATACAAGGCTTTATGCTGAGTGCAGTGGATGGAGAGACAATATAGTTCTTGTCCTGAAGGAGCTCACAGTAAAAATGAATCAAATATTCTTATAAAAATTTATGCTGTGTAATTTTTCTGTGTGTATCTAGGCGCACACTAACCATACCCACTTTAAATCATATACTAGGATACAGGACATGTAAGAAGTCGTATATCTTGGAATGACTGTTAGCAATATTTTGAGACATTATATCTACCTCAGGACTGACATTTGCTGATTGATTGCTTGAAGGAAGCAATATGCATGAGAAAGAATAATGACTTGGGAGATAGACACATGTTGTTAAAGAAGGGGTATATTCTAGAAGGACAGACTTCTTATCATTCATTATAATGAAGTGTTTTGTTTTTGTTTTTGCTTTTCAGATTTCCCTACTACTTTTACCCCAGATCATCTGACTTACTCCTGGAGTTTTATCTTTTTTCATTCCTCTCTTGTCATGGTGTCCCTTCTGAGTGGGGTAGTGCTGGCAAGCTGTGATTGGTTGTTCATATTTTAAATGACATTAGGAAAAGTGGTTGGTTGGTAGTGTGACTACCTTGTTCTGCAGTTATGAGAGGTCTAAAATTTCCTCCATATTGTATAAAGGAGAACAGCCTTACCGAATTTAACAGTCACAATATGTAACTAAGGAGGGTTACTTTGATAATGATCTATGGTTTTCAGGTTTGAAACATTATTAGATCCTTATACAACAATGTTCATTAAAAAGCAGGATTGATCTTGAGATGGCTAATGAGATTTGTAACTCATATAATGCAACAGAAAATATATCTTTGGCTTTACATGTGGTTTGTGTTCTCACTTCTAACCCTACATTGTTGCCACAGATGAAGTGTTGATGTTAATTTATGTTCCTGTTGATGATAAGAGGATTAAATATATACTATTTTATTTTTGCAATTATTTTGTTGAGATATGATTCACATAAAATTTACTGTCTTAAGGTAAAAATGCAGTGATTTTTAGTGTATTCATAATGTTGTGCAACTAACACCAACATCTAATCCTAGGACATTTCTATCACCCCCTAAAGAAACTCCGTACCTGTTAGACACTCCTAACTCTCCCATCTTCTGATCTCTGGCAACAACTAGTCTACCCTCTGCCTATGAATTTGCCTATTCTGGACATTTCATAAAAATAAAACACATTTTTTTATTTGTTTAGACACTACCAGAAACATCTTTACAAAATTATGCAACAAATTTGAAAGATAAGAGTTCTTTAGTTTCATCTCTTTATAAAGTTATCCAGGAGCCACAAAGTGAGGTAAGTACTCTTACAGTTTATTGTACTAGTACTATTGATTGTACTAGTCCAGTTGATTGATTTTTAAATTTTTATTGTGAAATATAACATATATAAAAAAATAAGAAAAGTAACGTGTTTAAAGAACTACAGTATATATTATGAAGCGTTTAGCTGATTACTTTTGAGAAATGGGGTGGAGGGGGTAAGAAAAGAATACTTATGTTCAAAACTGGCAGAGAAAGAAAACATTGTAATAAAATGAACTCTAATGTACACTACCCCAGGCAAAAAAATAGAATTTTCCCATATTCCAAAAGCCACCTCTGAACATGTTCTCTCTCCCTCTCCCACTTCCCCCCCCTTTTTCTCTCTTGCTGGAGGTAGCCTAGAAGAGTCTGGGGTACTACATCCATTTATTCCTTCAGCAAATATTTCTATGTCCACTATGAGACAGCAGCAATGCTAGACAATAGAAAATGGAAGATGAGGAACACATGGTCTTTATCTCAAAAAGGAGAGGAGTAGAAAATAAGTAAACATAGTTTCCTTATTCTCAAATGAATCTAGATGGATATTCTTGAATTTGCCAGATCTGCAAGGTGAAAGAACGTTCTAAGCCATAAGGGAAATATATGGAGATCTGAAAAAATGTAAGGCATTTAAAGAATGGCAATCACTGGCTGGTGCTTACCCCAGTCCCCCAGGCTTTCCTTCTTTTCTCTTGCTTCCATCTCCTTTTTTTTTTTTTTAAGATATCAAATTTAGTTTGAAGGTGATAAGATGATCTATCCTCTAGATTCTGATGCTTATAAATTCTAACATTCATAGTAGAAATAAAAAAGGGTTAGAAATAGCATAGGAAATAAAAAGGCATGGCATTTGGGAAAAAAAGCAAATAGGCTAATGTATAGTTAACAAGAGAGGAAAACATTGGTAGGAACTTAAACTGGAAAGATAGGTTTAGTTTGTAACCATGGTGGATCATGAAATCTATCATAAGCAGTTTAGACTTTTTTTTGCACTGAAGGGATGACTTGATTGTATTATTCTTGTAGGAAGGTGACTGTGGAGGATAGATTTGGAGAATGGAAAAATTGAAAACAAGAGACAAGGAAGCTATGAAAATAGCCTAGGAGGGAGATGTTGAGGACCTGAGCTGGGGCAGTGTCAATTGGAATAAAAAGAGGTAGAGGAGAGGGGAGGTAGAGGGAAGGAATATGAAGCATGTGATTCTTTTGTACTTGATCTTGGTAGAAGACATGATAGGCTCTAATACCACTAACCTTATTATTCAGTGGTAAAATAATTTCTACTCTGGAGAATTATCTGCAAAGGAGTTCCCATAAGACTATCTGCTGATTTCTCAAAAGAAACTTTGCAGGCAAGAAGCAGCTGGTGAGAAGTATTTAAAGTTATGAAATGCAAGGACCTGCAACGTAGATTATTCTGTCCAGCAAAGCTATCATTTAGAATGGAAGGGCAGGTAAAGTGCTTCCCAGACAAGATGAAGCCAGAAGAGTTCATCATCACCAAACCATTATTACATGAAATGTTAAAGGGACTTATTTAAGAAAAATAAGATCAAAACTATTAACATTAAAATGGCAATAAATTCACAACTATCAACAACTGAATCTAAAAAAATAAACTAAGCAAACAACCAGAGCAGGAACAGAATCATAGATATGGAGATCATTTGGAGGGTAATCAGCTGGGAGTGGGAAGGAAGAGGCTGGGGAGAAGGTGCAGGGATTAAGAAGCATAATTGGTAGGTACAAAATAGACAGGGGGAGGTTAAGAATAGTACAGGAAATGGAGAAGCCAAAGAACTTAAATGCACAACCCATGGACATGAACTAACTGGGGGGGATTGCTGGAGGGAATTGCAGGCAGAGGTGGGGAAAGGAGGAAAAATTAGGATATCATATTAACATCAATAAAATACATTTTAAAAAAGAATGGAAAGAAGGTACATGATGATTAGGTTCTCATTAGACCCATGAGAAGCCTATTTAACATATGAAAATATACTTGATGTGCAGTTCTCATGATAGTACTATAAAACCTGATTTTATAATCATTTTGTTCTGTAACATTTTTCATATATGTTTGTAATTGAGTCAAAAAGTCTTGGCTTCAGTTCTGACCTTTGAAAGCCGTATGGTTTTGATCATAGTAGAGAGCCTCTTTGTCTCAATTTTCTTACGTAGAAAGTACATATAATGATATTCTTCCTTAGAGTGTTGTACAAATTGAATGGGTTCATGTATATGAAAGCATTTTGCAAGCTGTGAAACAATGCACAGGCATTTGCATTTATTTCTATTGGTTTGATATGCATAATTTCATCTGATCTCACTGAAACACATAATTTCTACCTCCGCTTTGAATCTGCCTTCATTTGATCCTACTTTCATAAAGCAAAAACTCTTTTAATTTTGGGTTTTAAACCAATTATAAAGCCTTTTGAGGGTGTTTTGATTAAAATAGACTGTGTTCATGCAGACTGTTGAATAAAGTTTCTTTCTTTTTTTTAAAATCACATTTATTTTATTACAGTTGTCTCAGTTTTTTCCCCTTTGCCCTCCTCCACCCATCCTCTCCCCACCCCACAGTAAATTCTCACTCTGTTGTCCATGTCCATGGGTCATTCATACATGTTCTTTGTCTAGTTCCACCCCTTTCTTTCCACCATTGTGCTCCTTCCCCATCCCCTCCGGTCACTTTCCATCTGTTCCATGTTTCCATGCCTATGGTTTATTTTGTTCATTGTTTTATTTTGTTCATTAGTTTATTTTGTTGAATAGATTCCACTTATAGATGAGATGATATGGTATTTCTCTTTCACTGACTGGCTTATTTCACTTAGCATAATATTCTCCAGTTCCATCCATGTTGTCCCAAAAGGTGGTTCCTCCTTTCTTTTTTTAAAAAAATGCAGATAGATTTTATTTACTTATTTTTTAAATGTCAAAATCCATGATAAAATATTAATAAATTTAAATCCATTATAAAATCTCAGCAATTAAAACAACATGATGTCAGCACAGAAATAATCTAGTAGATCAAAAAATAAAATGAGCATTCTAGAAACAAATGTATATATCTGTCTAACAATGTAATATATGATTAAATTGCTATTTCAAATCAATGGGGAAAATAAGGCTTATTCAACAAATAAGGTGCATGGGCCACTATTACTTAAGATAAAACAAATGTAGAGCCCTATTTCACACATTATACAAAAAATATTCAGGTGAGTTAAAAATCAGTATGTAAAATCTAAGAGTTTTAGGAGAAAATACAAACTAATATTTTTCTTACCCTGAAGTAAAATATTCAAACCCAGAAGCTATAAAGTAAAATATTGACAATATGACAATATTAAACATTTAAGACTATACAGTAATATAAACATAAAAAAAGTTAAAGGACAAGTAATAGAATAGGAAAGTATTTGCAACTAATCTATAAAAAGGTAAATAGTTTTGTTTTTTTTTTTTAGGGAAAAAATTCTACAAACATTTAATCAAAAAATGGATAAAGAATACCAAAAAGTAATTTAAAGCTTTTTTAAAACAGAAATAGGCAAGAAATATACAAAAACAGGTTAAGTTTCAGCAAATAATAAAGTAACAAAATAGCACATCATTGTCACAATCAGATTAATAAGTATTAAAAATACTGATAATATCAAGTATTGGTGACTGTGAAAGGAACTGGGAATTCATAGATTCTTTTTCTTCATCTTCTTAAAGCAGTCCCTTTAGCATATCTTACAATGCTGGTTTGGTAGAGATGTATTCTTTTAGCTATCTTCTGTCTGGGAAACTCCTTATTTTGCCTTCCACTTGAATTGAGAGCCTTGCTGGGTAGAACAGTCTTGGTTGCAGGCCTTTGTTTTTCATTCCTTGGAATATTTCTTGCCATTCCCTTCTGGCTTCTAACGTTTCTGTTGAGAAGTCAGCTGCTAGCCGTATCGGGACTCTCTTGTATGCTACTACCTGTTTCTCTCTTGCTGCCCTTAGGATTCTCTGTTTGTCTTTGATATTTGCCATGTTAATGATGATATGTCTTGGAGTGGGCCTCACTGGGTTCCTCTTGAATGGGACCCTCTGTGCTTCCTGGACTTATGTGACTTCTTTTCTCCTCCAATTAGGGAAGTTTTCCATCATTACTTTTTCTAACAGGTTCTCTATCCCTTCCTCCTCTTCTTTTCCTTCTGGTATCCCTATTACATGGATATTATTATGTTTCAGGTTGTCCTGCATTTCCTGTAATGCCTCTTCATTCTCTTTGAGTCTTTTTTCATTTTCTTGCTCTTTCTGGGAGCTTTTTTCTACCTTATCATCCAGCTCGCTGATTTGATCCTCTGTTTCATCTAGCCTGCTTTGGATTCCTTCTACTGTGTTCTTCAATTCAGAAATTGTGTTCTTCATTTTTCCTTGTCTCTTATTGATAGTTTCTATATCCTTTTTCATGCTGATATAGTTTGCAGTGAGTTGCTTGTAATTTCCCTGTAGTTATTTTTGTAATTCTCTCTGAGCTCACTGAGCTCATTGAGCTTCCTTAGAACTGTTGTATTGAACTCCATATCTGATAGTTTACTTGCCTCTATTTCATTTAGTTCTCTTTTTGGGGATTCTGCCTTTCCCTTCGACTGGGGAGTGTTTCTTTGTCTTCCCATTATTGGTGAGACTCTTCTTTTTTGCTTCTGCCTCTTAAATTGACCTGTCTTGATTTCCTGACTTTGTGGTATGAACTTCTATGGTAGGAGACCACTTTTTCTTTCTGCAATTGCCTCTGATGATGTCAGCTGTTGTTCCTGTCTAACCTTAGGCAGTCTGTTTGAGGCTTCCAGGAATCTACTGTCTGTGGCTGTCTGCTTCAGATGTTAATTTAGTCACTCTGCACTCAGCAGTCAGGCTTAGACACCAGAGGGCTGGGCAGAGTCCCTCCTGGGGGAGGGGTTATTGTGTCCTCCCAGGCTGCTGCTGCTCAGAGGAGTGGTCTTTCCTGAGCAAGATGGCTGCTGCCATATTGGGGAGGAGTCAGCACCAGGATCCCGCTAGCTACTCTTTCTATTCTCTCTCCAAAGCCTCCATCTCCAGTCTCTCCTCAGGCATCTCTAGCTCACTCTACCCCTGCCTTTGCTGGAGACCAGGGTAAGTGGCAGTTAGGTTGTGCTAAAGCTGATTCTTCTGTCTGTCTGAGGTTATAAGGCTCCTCTCTCACTATTGTTCAGCTGTTTTTCCAGGTGATTTCTCCACAATTTAGTTGTAATTCCATATTGGTTGTGGGAGGAGGTCAGTGTGACTTCCATTCACTCCTCTGCCATCTTGATTCTATTGAATAAAGTTTCAACATAAAATTTCATAATTTTGCAAATACTTGTTAGTTTGTATCAATAGATTTAATCAAAGCTTCCCCAGGTATTTGGAGATAAGGGATGTTACACCACAAGATTATTGACACTGTTCTGTAAAGAAATTTTTAAATCTCCACCTGAGAGCTGAACAGTCCTCTTTCCGTCTTTCTTTGTTCCTACCACCTCAACTCCATTCTTTTAAATTCCTCCCCTAAAAAGTTTTTCTTGCCATCTGTGAATCCCCGTGCCTCTGGCCCTCCAGATGCCTGTTACCTTTGCCATGCCATAGTGGACTCCTGCTGCTGTGTAATGACCATGTTGAGAATGGAGAAAATACTTCTTAACTGTCAGAAGTTAGGTTAATTTGACTTAGTCAATGATTATTGAAGTGTAACTTTTGCTATACCTTATACAAATAATACTTTAATAACACCCAATTTACTTTATATATTTAACTTCTTTGAAATTAAAACATCTACTATAAATTAGTTTCTGTTCATTACAATTATTAGTAGTAGAAAATCTGTTTAGTAAGTTGACTTAAAATATTCCTTGATGGTTTGAGAAATGGGTATTCTGTGAAACTCTTAACATATTTGTTTATGACTGTGTGTGATCATTGCATATGCTTTCAGATAACACTTACCTGTAAAGTTATCTTATTTTGACTCTGATTTAAAAAATGTCTTTTATAAAAATAACCCTGTTAACTGGATAATGCTGGGGGGGTGGTGGGATAGAGGAGGTTACAGATAATCTTCAAATCATATTTAAAATAAAATGACAGCAATGTTTAGATTATATAGTGGCAATTAACTGTGATTACAATACAGATCTAGATCTAGGGGCTGTATAATTATTCAGCTACTTCACCAACCAGTCATTGTTGTCAGATGCTGCCTAATTGTAAGCTCAGGAGGTGACAGTAACTACCTAAAATTCCCATTTCAATTTCTCCAACCCTGTAGCCAATTATTTATATATTGGCTTTTTTTTTTTAAATCAGGAAGAAAGGATATTAAAGGTATTAAGGAAGAAGCTCTTACAATTTAGGCATTTTAAGAAGTTAAAAAGGTATGGTTTTAATAACAATACTACCTTAGAGTTATAAAATATTTTAAAGTTCATAAAGCCTTTCCATATATACTGGTTTTGCTTTAGCCACTAGAGTTCAAAGTTTTACTAACTAGCTTAGCAAAGAGTAGTTTTGCTTCTAAAAAAATGGAGACACATTTATATATTTCAGTAATTAACCAATCAGGGAAAAACTTTTATATTTTGCATTTCAGTGCCATTCAAAAACAATCCAATCCTTGAATTAACATTTCATTTTTCTTCCAGTTGCTAGAACCTGTTTGTCACCAGCTCTTTGAATTCTATCGCAGTGGAGAGGAGCAGTTACTTCGGTTTACACTGCAGTTTCTTCCAGAACTGATTTGGTGCTACCTTTCAGTCTCGGCCAGCAGAAATGTGCATAGCAGTGGATGCATTGAAGCTCTTCTTCTTGGGGTTTATAATTTGGTTTGTATTTAATGTGACATGGTTAACAAAATGTTTTTTCGCAAGATCAAATACATAACCTTTTCAGCAAAAACAAATACCTAACAGCAACTACTTTTCATTTTTGTAAAGCTAATATTTGTTTTTTGTACATCAAATGACTTATAGCTCTTCTTCCAAAAATAACTTTATGGAGGTTGAGGGCTATACAGGCATACATATGATTATGAAAATAAATCTTTAGGTATTGACTGAAGACTGAAAATCAGACCAATTCCTTTATAGAAGTATCTGAGAATATTGTTGAATTTTACATTTTTTAAAACTTCAAATCTATTGTCTATAAATTGTCTGTGACCTTCATAAAAAGTTTAGGAGAAAAGATTTAGCCTAACATCTACCACTAATCTATAAAATCTGTATTGTCTCCAGAATTTATACCATTGATTTAACATATAGTGTGAATTATTAATAGTGTTATTATATTAATTAGTATGGTATTCTAGATACTTAGGTTTCTGCTTTTTTCAAAATGGAAAAATATTAAGGGCTTTTTCATAGTCAGTTAATTGATTTAAAATGTAACTTATTTTTGCATTGTTTTTACTGTTGAAGTATATTGAAGTACATGAAGAATATGAAGTTGTCTCCATATTCCCACCATCACTCAAAAATGTAACTTTATACATGAGAAAAATTGATGATTGTTAAGACACTACATCTGTATTTTAGCCATCCTTAAAATTATATGTTACTTAATATTTTAAAAGAGGAAGATTATCTATAGGTGTTTCTGAATAATTGATGATAGATTATCATAACTTAAGATTTTAGTTATTTAAAATTATTTTCTTTTCAGGTCATTTTTTAGACTAACAATTTAAATTTAGTTTTTAAATTTATGTGCAAAAGTTAAATATTGAAATATACCTTCTTTTACTTTTGTAGGAAATAGTTGACAAACAGGGACATAGCAAAGTATTGAGTTTTACGATTCCATCTTTATCTAAACCATCTGTATATCATGAAGTAAGTGACGTTTTATCAAAGTATGTTTATTGTTTCTAAAATCTGAAGCTACTATAAATTAGAGTCTGGTTTTTGAGGAAAAATTTTTTGACAATTTCATTAGTACTCTAAGTATAAAACACCAAATAAAGTATTTGCTATTACCAAATTTGAAATGAGAAATCAAGATCATTTAACTTTAAACTAAAATCTGATTGTAAGCAAGTGACTCAAAGTTTTCATTTTGAAATATTTTTTATTTCCTTCCAATGGATAATAACAGTATTTTTTTTATAACAGTTATGTATTTCCATGGTAGAATTTTTGAAGTTAAACTATTTTTTTTTTTGCATAAAAGGTTGGTTGTTAATTATTTATTAAATCTGTGAGCAGAAAATTTAGTAGTCTGAATATTTTAAAGATATATGATGTTCATGGCAATCATTCTTAGTGGTATATGTATTCTAAATATCATGTTTTCAACAGAACTTTTTTTCTTACTTACTTAAATGTCTTTTCTTTAGCCTTCCAGCATTGGTTCCATGGCTCTGACTGAGAGTGCACTTTCCCAGCATGGCTTGTCAAAGGTGGTGTACAGTGGCCCTCACCCCCAAAGGGAGATGCTCACAGCGCAGAATAGGTATATGGTGGAGACGTAACGGACTGTAGTACCACACTGATAAAAAAAATTATTTCAGTAGATTTTTAAATAATGTTTAATGAGCTGTGTGTAACAGTTTTTTAAAATTTTGAGTCATTTTATTAAAAAAACACACATCTTCCTGCTTTGTCACATATACTTTGCTTTCGATGTCATTGGAAACATCAAATTTTTAAGATAATTTTCATATGACTACTTGGGAAGTCTTCTTTTTCCTTTTAGTTTTTGTACAGGTCTGTTCTGTAACATAATATCTCTTCCCAATGCCTGCTTAATTTAATTATGTTTGACTTAGAATTCTATAGATTTGTAAATATTGTTTTGGTTTTATCTTTTTTTAGGTTTGAAGTATTGACATTCCTTTTGTTGTGTTACAATGCTGCCTTAACCTATATGCCCAGTGTGTCTCTTCAATCATTGTGTCAAATTTGTTCAAGGTAAATTGAAACTTAAGTGTTTTTAATATTGAAATATATGAATCTAAGATTGCTAGTTTGTTACATATCTGTTATTTTTGTTTTGTTTAATTATTTGTTTAAAACATTAAATAAGTTAATATACAGTTCAGCCTAACCAATACATAGGAAGTTCCTTATTAATTATAGCCACAAAAGACACAATGAAGAGGGTAAAGTTGAATAGCATTTCAATGGAATATTTAATCAGAAAAGGGTCTGATTATATAATTAAAAGGTTGGAACTGTTATGACCTTTCAGTTTTTAGCATGTGGTTGGTTTCTGTTTTGTTTCCTTTTTTCAAAAAATTATTATTTATTTTTATTGTGCTCTAATTTGGTACTAAGAAATAAGTAAGAGATATTGGTGTTCAGACTTTCCTTGTTTAAAAAAATTGAGCAAATAGGTTGGTTAAGTAAATTATGATAGTCCTTAGGTATACTCTGCAAACATTTGAAAATTCTGATTTAAAAAGGTATTTACTAATAGATTATATATGCTGTGATTTGTGCATTGACTGAATATGGCCAAAATATCAATAATAGTTATGTCTGATTGGTAGAATTATGGTTTATTTTAATTTTTTCCTATGTGATTTTTATGTCCTTTTCTAAATTTGCTATGATGAAAGTCTTACCCTTAAAAAGAAACAAAACCAAAAAACATCAAATGCCTTTGGTAATTCAGATACATAGAGAAAATAGAGAATTAAAGAACCTGTGGAATAATTTAGATTTGGGGAACATATTTAGAAAATGCAACTTTGAAAAGTTAGAGGGAAGGTGCATAAAGCAATACTTAGGATTCAAATAAAACAAAACAAACAAGGAAAAATTGGTACTGAATAGGATAAAAAACTTTTCAGGACCAGAGTGAGAAGGGAGGTAAAGGCAAGGGGCTTGGTAGGGAAGTGGTGATTTTTTCAGGTGATTCTTGAGTTAGCATAATTACATTTCCTAGACCTTGGAAGATGATACCAATGTGCTATCTCCCCCACCTACTGGGTCTTTCTAATACATTTCTTGTTTTATATCCTTTAAAGTCATGGGTGCCCAGACTTTTGAATCACAAGATCTATAAAATTTCAAAAAAGGCTGGAGCGGGTGGAGTATCTGTACAGTATTGCCAACTTTTTAATTTGCCATGTGATTATACTATAAATACCTACCATCAACATTATTTAACAAAACAGACTATTTTAACATCAAAAAACAGGGAGAGTGGAAGGGAAGGACAATAATTTATTTAAAAATGGAATGTTTAGCTTTCTTTGTTCCTCATTTCACTATGGTCCAGTAAAACTTTGTTATGGACTAAAATGAGAATAAGGACTAACACTTCAGAAACACTGGTTTAGGTGGTAACCTGATGCAGCAACGATCACCTTTAGAACTTGAAATAGGCTACAAAGCCCACTTCCTGCTCTGAAGCAGTGTTCTGGATGATAGGACCCAGGAATGCAGTTATAGATATATAGAGACATCTCTACCATATATCTGAAACTTAGCGTCTTCTAAAACAGTATATTTTATTTGTTCAAGTTTATTTAATGACACTACCATCCAGGCTGCTATCCACACTAGTGCAGGAATAATTATACACACCTTTAGTGCCCACCCTTTGGATTCTACTTCCTAGATGTGACTCCAATCCCACCGTTACTCCTTTTCTCCATGATTACTTCCTTAGTTCAGCTCACTTCATCTCAACTCATGGGATATTTTGACACTCTCCTCTCCCATTTCAGTGAACTCTTCCAATATAACATGAATGATATAATCAAAAGAACAATCTGATGATATCACTCCCTTGCTTAAAACAATAAAACAAAAACCTTTAGTTGCTTCTCAGTTCCTACATGAAAAAGCCTAACAGGTTATAAGATACTCTGTGATCTGACCCCTACCTGGTTTCTCTGCTATTTTCTAGTGTCCCAGCATTCTGTCCTACTAAAATTTCCCCAGTCTCCTTGATGTCATGGTATTTCATCCCTTTTTCTTCAAGGCTCAGTTTAAAGGAATCTCTTTCTGGGAAGTCTTCTCTGACCTTCTACTTCTTCAGCTAGAGTTTTCCACTTTCTCCTGTTGTTACCTCTGTAACTTGTCTGTTGCAAATATTTGTTTACTATAGTCTCCATGATTAAATTGTGAATCCCTGTAGGTGCTACAGCTTTCATTTATATCCCTAGTGTCTGACACAATAAACATTTTTAATAAGTATTTACTGAATGAATAAAGAAATTGAAAAGTTCTATCTTTCATGTATTAGTTTTCTGTTATTTACTACCATTTCTATCATAAAGGTGCAAGGTGTAAGAAAATAAAATGGGTCTAGGTTTGCTTCTTTAGGTAATAAGAGTAAGAGCTTGGATATAAGCTCTTGTAATAGCAAACAACAGTTGAGCTGGTTTTATTTCATGCATAGCTAAGTTTTCTCGGCTACTTGGTCCTCTCAGGCTGCCATGATAAAATACCATAGACTGAATGGCTTAACAATAGACATTTAATTTCTGACAGTTGCAGAGTCTGGCAGATCCACAGTCAGGGTGCTGGCAGATTCGGCTCCTGATCAAGGCCATCTTCCTGGCTTACAGGCTACTGCCTTCTCACTGTGCCTTCACATGGCAGAGCTTGACCTCTGGTCTCTCTTCCTCCTCTTCTAAGGGCACTAATTCCATTGTGGGGGCCCCACTTTAATGACTTCATCTAAACCTAGATACTCCCAAGGATCCCATCTCCAAATATTACCATATTGGGGGATTAGGGCTTCAACATGAATATGAGGCGGATAGAAACTTTCAGTCTATAAGTATCCCTGCTCCTTTTTACTCTTGCTTCTAAAGAGTTTTAAGGTCCTCTCAATATCAAATAAATTTATATTTACTCCTTAAAGTAGCTTTGAATTAATGATATTCTCAGGGGGATATTTTTAGAATAATCTGTGGTATACTTGGGCATGTTTAAGTAAAGGCTTAGATTCCTTGGGTAGAAGAAATATTAAGTTCCAGTTAGTAATTGCATGCAGGCAGGTGGTAAATAATTATGATCTATTGACTAGTAGTCTAATAAGTGATGGTTGTATTATATCCACCATAACATATTATGAGAAAACAGCTATTTTTCCATTGTATTAAAAATAGAAACTTACTCTTTATTTTAAAAGCAGTACATATTGATCATAGAACAATTTAGAAAATAAATATAAATATGAAGAAGAAAGTATGCCTATAATCCCACAGCTCAGAGATAACTGTATGACTCCATATATAATCTTATAGTGACACATGCCATTCACATTATAAAATGTTAATTATAAAATCAGATTAGGCTGCCTTTGTACAGGTTTTTTCCCTGTCATTTAAATAGACTTTCAGAATGCCATGTTTAATTGTTTCATAGCATTGTCTGAATGATTTATTAATGGTCCCTTTTTTTGGACTTTAGGTGGCTTCCTGTCATTATAATAAGCATCACTTAACTTTAGTACTCCTTAAATATTCTTCATTATAAAAATATCTTTTTTTAAAAAAATAAGCACTTATTTTCCTCTATTCTGGAGGCCAGGAAGTATAAGGATAAATACTTCTTTGCATTTCAATTTTTTAAAGATAGTTTCTTTTAAAAAAATTGGTAAAAATCTACTGATTTTTCTTTAGGATTCTACCTTTGTTGTCATATTTAGGCATTCAAAGAATTTGTAACTAATTGCTTATACTTTATATCTCTTATGGTTTTCAACATTAGAAATTTCAATCTATTTTTAGTTTATTAAGGTGTGTACTACATGACGTTTGAGTCTAATTTTCGAGTATATTTTTGGAGCCTTCAGTATGTGTCAAGAACTTTGTCAAAACAGAGAATCATTCTGTAGATCTATTTTGATAAATAATGCTGAATTCCGTGTTACAGTTATTACAGAGACCAGAAATTATTAACTGGATCAGTCAAATTAGTGAATCAACTCTGAGAATCTGGTTCATTTAATATATATTAGCATCCCTGTGACTTTATATACTTTTCCCCCCAGTCTAATTTGCTCAGGAAAATGTTATAGACAAATGATCTATTTGGAAAGATTCTTTGTTTCATAGCTATAAGGTTTATTTAGAGAAAAGAGTATATCTACTATACTGTTGGCTTATGAATGTTAAAAAATAAATTACCTAAATTTTTACTGATTTTACAAATATATTTATTTTGGCATTTCTAGAATCTGTGTTTGCGGATATCCCCGACAACATGTAAGAAAATACAAAGGTATAAGTAGCAGGATACCAGTTTCTTCAGGATTCATGGTACAGATGTTAACAGGGATTTATTTTGCCTTGTAAGTTTACTTCAGATACAAAGTAAACATTTGACCTTTTTTGAAAATCATAGTTTGTTGTTTTATTGCTACTATATACTAATCTCAATAGATAAACAATTGGCATATTTTTGTGAAAGAGTATCGATCAAGATCTTCATAATAGTTTTATAATTTTAAATATATCATTTAATGTTTTAAAGAATTTGTGTCCAATTGAAGCACTTCATCATTTCTTTAAAATTTAAGGACAGAATGAAACACCTAAATATACTCCCAGTTCCTTTCTTTATTATTTTTTTTTGCTATAATTTCCAAATAATGTTTTTTCCCTAATAAATATTTTTGTCCATTCTAGAAATTTTAACTTTTGAAAAACATTTTAGTCTTTTTGGTCACAATTCATAATTAATGTCTAATATTCATGCTCAGCTTAATGCCTTAGATACCAGTATTTTTCTTTGAACCCTCTTTTACTTTGTAACTCTTTGATCACAAATAATTTATTTTTAATTTACTATTCTACTAATTTCCAACTAGTATCTAACTAACTTAGATACTAGTATTTTTCTTTGAATCATATGTTCTACTTGGCAGTTCTCTTAATGTACATATATTACTATATATTTTGTATTATATTCATTTGATACTTTAATTTTCCCTACTAGATTATAAACTTCTTGACTAAAGGCAGAATTTATGATCGTTGGGCCAAATCTGACCTGCTGCCTGTTTTTTTAAAAAGTTTTGTTGAAACACAGTCACATCCATTTGTGTTCGTATTGTCAATGGCTGCTTTCACGTCATAGTGACAGAATTGAGTAGTTGCAATAGAGACTAACTATATAGCCCACAAGCCAAAAATATTCATTATCTAGCCCTTTAAGAAAAAGTCTGTTGACCTTTGTGACATACCATTAATATTGTCACACAGTCTTGTATACTCTGATCTATTTTATTCCCTCTTTGTTTTTGCTTTGTGTTTCAGATTGAGTAAATCTGTTGATCTATCTATATGTTCATTGATTACATTCTTCACTAAGTTGAGTCTACTTAATGAGTCCACTGAAGGTGTTCTTCATCTCTGTTAGTGTGTTTTATTTCTAGCCTTTTTATTTGACTCTTTCTTATAGTTCCCATCTCTCTGCTATCTCTGTGTCCATACATATTGTTCATGTTTTCCACTAAAGGTTTTAATATAGTAATCATAGTTATTTTAATTTTCCTGGCTACTACACCAGTTGAGTCATCTTTTAATTTGGTTCTATTGTTTTTTGTCTCTCCATAGTGGACTGTTTTCTTTTTGCTTTTTGTGTGCCTTGTAACATGTGATTGATCATTTTGTTCATGGGTAGGACATTAGAGACTGAGGTAAATATTATTTATGACTGGAGATGAGCATGACTCTTCTAGGCTGCTAGTGGAGTTACTATAGGAAGGAGTGGCTGGAGTTGGATTTTGTTGTTGCTATGGTTACCTTCATGGCACAATCTACTTGAAATTTCTGTCATGTTACCTGACACTTATGGTGAGAGGAGCTGGACTGTTGGATTGCTTTTCTCAACATACTTGCTCCATCCTCAGCTTTCAGCTTTCCCTGTCCATCTGCATTTTGGAGATGTTCTCTCAGCTTTCTTGTTCCTCCTCTAGGAGTAGAAGCTATTGTTGGTTTGTTCTCCCTGTTTGGGGGAAGCAGAGGCTGGTGTTCTCTGTTGCCCTGGTGAAGCCTCAGTTCTAAGTAGGCCCTCAGTCCCTGCATAGGGTGGGGGTGGTGAGGTGTTCCTGGCTGCTCAGTGGTCCTGCCCTTCCTCCAGTGATAAGAGACGTCTACTGACCTCAGCATAGGACCATATCCTGATCCTCCCCCCACAGGTAGAGGTTTTTCTCCTTTTTCTTCACCTCAGCCACTGTTGTTTTTAACCTTTGTCATTAGGGTGAAAGTGTTTTTCTCCTCTTTCCCCAAAGGCTTTAAAATTTTTGTTTCATGTGAGAAAGGGATCTGGCTGGATCTTCATGTCTTTTCTTGCTTGGTGGCCACTCTTCTCATACAGGCCACATGTACCAAGGGCAGCATTCTCTGGGCCCCTGTCTTGCTCACAGTTTTCCTTGTAAGCACCTACAGGAGATTTGTGCAGAAGAGCTTGTGAGAGGGTGTGAAATCCCCATGTATCTGTTCCCAGACATACTATATTCTCCTGGTTAAGTGACACTTGGCTTTTAGCAATTTGTTAAAAAGGTTAGCTGAATTTTTATTACTTGCTTGCATTGTGGTCTGTCTTCCCTTAGGGGCACCTGCCTGCCCTTAGGTTTCAGGTTACTTGGTTGCCCTATGATCTTAACTCCTTGCTGGATCCATAAAATTTGTTTTTGTAGATTTATCTTGTATTTAGGATGGTAACAATGCTCTTTCCAGTTTTTAGGCCTCATTTGCACTCTTGATGTGATTCACACTTATTTTGCTGATAGATGACCAACCCATTATTTGTGTCCATTGTCATCATTTAGCCAATTTTTAGTTAGTTTGTTTGTATCTTCGAAAATTATATTCACACACACTTTTACCCCCAATATACTACTGATATTTGCAACATGTATCACATGTACTTCTAAATGACTATTAAAATTTAAAGAAGTAATTACTTGGGATAATGAAAGCCACAGTAGTTGCAGATTCTCGTTAAAAACCATGGCAGTTACAGAATAGTTTGACCATCAAGTGTTCTGAACGTTATTCTAAGGTATATAATTTATTATGCTCTGACTTGCTTTGAAAGTGTAAAATGCTTTGAGATTGCCTGGCTTTTTTGATATCTGTTCCATAAATAGAAATGTTCTTTAGAGAAGAAATGTACATCTATAACATTTTCTTTTCTATTATAGGCTTTCAGATACAATTGAAAGGAATTCAAAGATTTAAAATATGTTTTTAAGGAGAGTGAAATGCTAATCTGACCTATTATTTTCCTCAGTAAAGACATTGTACTTTTTCATTGTATTTTTTAAATTATGTAGAATTAATTTAGAATAATTTTACTTTATTTAATTTTATAGTTATAATGGAGAATGGGATCTAGCTCAAAAAGCATTGGATGATATTATATACAGAGCCCAGTTAGAATTATATCCAGAGCCATTACTGGTAAGTGCCTTACATATTTATGCAAATTTTTAATTTAAAAATTCTCAAAACTATAAATTATGGCATAGCCATTAATAGTACATTTACTATGTCATTAATACCCCATGATTCATGCTCCTCTTATACTAGGAAAATTTTATACCTGAAAAGAATATACATAATAAAATTTGAAAATTTTATTTGACTTACTTCTTAGATACCTGATAAATAGTCTTTAACTTGTCAGAATGTTCTCCTTAACATGCTAGAACAACATTTATTAATTAGCATTAGGCATTTGGAAATATAAATCAATACTTTGAAATTTTTAATTTTTGTCACTTACATATTATATTTAACTATAAGATTTCTTCTGAACTCTTACACTTTATTCCAGAGGATTTATATACCACTTTACACAATACCTGAGAGAAAGTATTCTTTTTTTAAAACCTGTTAAAATTTAACATCTTGTTTTACCTAAGGGTATAATAATACATGTTTAAATACCAATCTTAAACTATATGCTTCCTTCTTAGGTTGCTAATGCAATAAAGGCTTCACTGCCTCATGGCGCCATGAAATCTAGTAAGGAAGGTACAAGGTGTATTCAAGTTGAAGTCACACCAACTGCCTCTAGAATATCAAGAAATGCAGTAACTAGCATGTCAATAAGAGGTCATAGGTGGAAGAGACATGGTAAGACATAAAAACTCTTCACATTAGAGGATTGTTGATTTTATCACATTTTCCGTGGTACTTAGGCTTTAGTAAATAGTATCATAGTGGCATGGAAGAAATAGCTATTGGGTCACCTTGAACTTCTAATTTATTATCCATGGGTGACAGGCAATAAGGCAAAGAGAGCCCCTTATGTTACATATATGAATGAAAATTTATTTAAACATTGTATTGGCTTTTAAATTATATTTCAACAGAGTATAAAAGTAGAAAAATGCATTTTAAAATCATTCATACATTTTTGGGTTTCTATCCACAATTAACTTGCAAATATTTCTTAAGAAAGAAATATTTAAGAATGTGTCTGATTTCTCAACTTAACTTTCTAGCAGGTAAACCTGTGTATTGAAGTAGAATGACTAATAGCAACTTTAATATTTTCTTCTGGCCTTCCTGTAAAGGATGCCAGGTATTGATACTACTCTAGGCATTTCTGTTTTCTGGAAGTTAATTTTCTTCCAAGATTGTTTGTTTTAATATTTCTTCTTGACTGCTTCATTTTATTATTTAAAAATTCTATTGAAAGTTAAATTTATTCACCATGCCTTTTCAATGTTTCCTTATCTCTCTCCCTTCTCTTATAATTATTTTTTATTTAATGTCTTATTCTTTTTATAACTCCCCTTCTACATAGAAGTTATTATAGTGACAAATTACCAGTGTAAGAAGAAAATCACTGCCACCTTTCTCAGAGGGTAACCAGAGAGTGGGAAGCAAAAAAGCCACTTCTTTGCCCTAAACAAACATTGTTTAGGAATAAAGCAAAATCAATTCTGTTTTCTTCTTCCTATAAGCTGATGAAAATGGTATCTCCTTTTGGTGTATATGGTTTTATTTGTCCTTATAGTCTCAATAGAGAAATGCAAAAGTGAAAAGAAATAGATCATTTATGGTGAAATAGAAAGTTGGTGATGAGAACCATTGTTCCTTCTCAGGGAATCTAGGAGATGATATGTCAAATAAAGAATGATGATGAAATTTTCCAACTTAATCAATGATCATTTTGAATCCTTTTCTTTTTTAAAGTAGTGTGACAATTCTTGAAAGTCCTCTAGGAAGGCATAAAAGAGTTGTCAATATTTACCATTAGCAAGGCAAATTATGATACTATTTGAAACATACAGTCAGAGACTTCTGTTTCTTCAGTGAAAAAAATATGCTCCTATATTCATCTATTTATGGCAAAACAAAAAAACTGATCTCTGGGGCATAAATAGGTGAATATAGGCACAGAGGCAATGAACCAAATCATACAGGTCTTTGTAGCCATAATGGCTCCCAAACTACCACTATAGGAAATGCAGGAGTGAATTTTAATACCTTTTCCACTTTTCTTTCTTGCTATTTAGGTGGACATATTGGGAATTAGGAGGAAAAAATATAGGTCCTGCAGCTAAAAATGTAATATTGAAGTTCAGCTGTATTTGTGCATGTGTGTGAGAGAAAGAGAAGGTGTGTAGATGTGTCCTTGCATGCATTTAACAGAACAAGATGTGTAACCTGCAATAAAATAGAAGGTATTGTCCAGAAATAATTTTATAGGAATATGTTACCAAAACAAGAGAAAAGGCTGCTTGAGGTATATTGTATCTATTAGATACTTACTGTATTTTGCTGTGTATAAGGTGCTCCTGTGTATACTGAGTTCCTACATTTTTGATCCATACTTTCAGGGAAAAAAATTTTTCATTTTAACTTTTTAATTCAATTTTTTATTTATATTTAGAAACAAAACAAATTATCATATTCCAGGGTATTATTTTGCATACTCATATATTATCTCCTTATTGCTTACTAGAGTTACACTTTTAATGCATAAGCATAAATAAAAGAATTAAAAACATTTATATAGATACAGAATAGTACTACCCATGTATACTGCACATCCTTATTTTCCCCCAAAAAACTTGAGCAAAAGAGTGCACATTATGCACGGCAAAATATGGTACATATTTTCCAGATTACATTTTGGCCACCACTTGGGCAGGTGGCACTGTGTCTTAGTCCACAGCCTCATGAAAATAACCTTCCTTACCACCTATTCCCCTACATTTATTCAACTTTCACAACTCTAAGACTTGGGCAACTCCTGTTGATAGTAACAAAAAAGTCACAGATGAGGATTTAGAAGAGAATGAACTATAAAAAGAAGTCAGGTTCATGAAACAGATACAGAATAAGCTTAGTCTTGCTTACCACTCTTCTGCAGGGTGCTTTCCCTTTATTTGTTTCTATAGGTAGGTTGCATTCTCCCTTTTATAGTGTAATCTTGGTTTTCCTTTTTACCGCAGAATTTTTCATTGTTACTTTGTTTTGCTGAATTAAAAACTTTTCTGTTTTCCATCTTCGTGGTCTTGATTCCTGCTTGAGTACCTTATTATTGTTCTGGGCTCTTTAGTGATGCTTGCTTTTTATGGTGAAGATAGAGACCTTTGTTATAGTTCTTAAATATATAAATAATTCCCGTTATAAATAGATTTTAAATTAAATTTATATATAAATTATATTTATTATATTACATTCATTATAAGTTATATGTGAATTAAAATAAAATTTATTTATACTTTTTTTTCAGAAATGTTAAAGGGCTTGTAGATTCCAGAGTGACCCACAAAAACCTTCTCATCTTTTAATGTTTCTGATGCAGAGTACTGTAGACTGTAGGTTTAGTTTATGACTGTGTGAGAACATATTTAGAGTTTCTTTATTCGGTGGAACTCTAAAGTACATTTCCTATTCCACCTAAATCCCTCCCCATTACCCCATTACTACACACCAAACCTCCCAGGAGGAGGAGGAGGGATTTCTTCCCAGACCCTGAAGTGTATATCGCACAGTAGGAACATGGAATATGCAACTTCAAGCTAGTGATGACTAGGATTGGGGAAGAGAAGGGAAGCATGAACTTTCAGGAATATTTTTATTTTTCTCCTTGCCTCTTTCTTTGTTACTGCAGTGTTGGGAAAGAAGAAAGCAATTGGCTCCTTTTTTCCCTTTCTTTGCTTGGGTTTCCTCCCCTTCGCCCCCCCCCCCTTTTTTCTCTCTAAAAAGATTTTATTTATTTATTTTTAGAGAGATGGGAAAGAGAGGGAAAGAAACATCAATGTGTGGTTGCCTCTCGCACACCCCTCACTGGGGACCAGGCCCACAACCCAGGCATTTGTCCTGATTGGGAATCGAACCAGCGACCCTTTGATTCTCAGGCCAGCACTCAATCCTCTGAGCCACACCGGCCAGGGCTATATATTATTTTTAAAAGGATATTATGTTTCACTTAGTGTGTCTTTTTTAAACCTAGATTTTTAAGCAGTCTACAGTTTGAGGTCCATTTACAATTCATAATTTGAAAATAAAAAGAAATTAGAGAAAGATGATAGAATAAACATTAAAAAGCATTAAAAAAGGAAATAGAAGAATCATTAGATTATGGCCATAAACATGAATCAAAATGAAAATTCCAATAAGAAAAATATAACAGTGAAAAAAATCTGTTAATTTTTAAAATTAATAATACAATTTTATTTTTAAATATTTTCTTAAAAAATCAACAGTTAAAAGTGAAAACAAAGTATTTCTTTAAAATTATGCTTTAATTCTAAGTCATTCTTAAATATTAGCTCCTAAGCTATATTCGTTTTCTACCATATCAGCTATAAGAGCCCATTTTATTAAATCCTTATATAATTCTTACCATTTCAAGATTCTTTCATACAATCTATACTTATTTATTTCCTTGTACTTTTCCATTCCCCCCCTCCTCTTCCAGAGGAAATTTAATTGCTACTTTTTTGTCTTATTTTACCACCACCATGACTCACTTCCACTTTTAAAAGATTGTCTGTACTTGCAACAATATAACCAACTTTCCTCCTTTCTTTTAAAATAGTTGTTGAAATACCACTTCTTCATTCTACAAAAGTCCCCTAATTAAGTTATGGTTGCAAATAATGAGTGCTTATAGTTTTTGCCAACTAGTTATCTAATATAAAGGTAAAATCCCAATTCTGTATTACTGCCCACTATTTTTTCCACTTGTGTATTTGTGAGATAATGAAACAAGTAAGTGAAAAGCACTTGGCGTACTTAAAAAGCTCTACATAAAGGCTGATTGTTAATTGAGAATGATTTAATTTGTTTTATTAGCTACATCCTAATTATGCTTTTGATAAGTTTGTATTAGCTTGCTATTCAAGTGATTCATTAGCTCTTTCGTATTCGTCAATCTGAAATAAACTTTAGTTTGAATGTTGTATCAAACACAAAAGTATACATATGTTATAAACAGTAACAACCCACTTAATGATTTTTTTGTAGTTTCTATAACTCTTAAACACAGTACTCTAATCCTATTATCTGATATTTATATTATTATTACAAGCATGATTTTTTAGACTGTTACTTTAATACCTGTTTTCTCAATCCCCAATTAACATGAATATAGAATAGATTGAACTTATATTTTTCATTTATGCATGGTTACAACTGTTTGCATCAGCTAGTTATCAATAATAAAAGCAATACCTGTTAACTAGATCCTTTTAAATTTTGTTCTACTTTTGGTCCTGGTATATATTAAACAGTTTATTTTTATAACACTGCATTTGATTTTTTTTGACTTAGGGGATCCAAGAGTACAAAGTTTTAAGCAGTGAGAAAGAATAGAAAAATAAGAACTGTATATATTTTTAAGTTTTCTAACAGTAACACAAAATAAGTACCACGGGAATTTTAGAGTATTTAATTAACTATATGGAATGTTTTATTGAAAAATCAAACAAAATATAATTTACATAGCTGAATTTTCATGTTGTTAAAGCAGTTTTATTGCATTTTCAGTATTAAGTTTCTATATAAATGATGCTGAGGTGTTTTAGGTATTATAAAGAAATCCAGACACCTGTGATTGTTTTTTTAAATGAAAAGAAATTGATTTTTTTCAATTTGCTAAGTGGTTTAGT